TATTTATTGCCTGTTTTACTGCATCTCTAAGAAATATTAAATGAAAATTTGTTGATAGAGAATAGGATAGGATGGGGTATACAAAATGAATGCTATGAGTCTTTCAAAACTAAATTTTTGTTCTTTATCTGTTTGGTTGTTTATGTTCTTAACGTTGCATAAAATATAGTTTGGTAATGGTCATTTGTATTTCTTTAAAAATGATGTGTCATATAAAAAAATTCATTAAATATTGACAGAAATTGGCCCTTGTCTTGGATCAAGTTTTGAATTTAGGCCTCTTGTTTAATTAAGTTTACCTTCCTTACTCTAATTGATTATTTCTAAAAATATGTGCCTTATTCTGTGTAATTTCTAAAACACTCAGAATATCATAATATACTTAGTTTTTTGTGGATTTTTTGTTTTGTTTCTTTGTATGTATGAAATGAATAAAAAAAACCAGTGTCTTACAAAAGAAGTATTTCACTAAAAACAACAGTGGAAGTGCTGAATTATCCATCTCTATGAGCCAGATGTGTGTTGTTCTATAAATATTGCAGCGTGTTTTCAGACAGTTTTTGAGAAAGAACAGCAGCAGAACATCACGTGGTTCAACAGCAGAAAATACAATGTTTTACTGGGAGTACTTGGAGAAGTTTGCAGACAATACTTTTTTTTTGTGCCACACTGGAAACCTGTCACCGAATGAATTTCTAAAAAGCGACTAAAACTCAGAGCCGCCTGTCAAGACTCAGAGTTTGTAGAGTTTGCATTTCATTCTCACAGGGTAGATGTTGAGCTGTAAGGATTAAACATATAGCACGTTTGAGTTACACTCGTTTAATACAAATTTAAGATATTGGTAATTTATAAGTTAGAAATATTAGAACTTAAATTCTCAAAGTAAAATGAAGTATTTTATTTTTGTTTATCAGTGAATCAAACATTACCTTCATTTAATCTATTTCACAATTGACTCGTAAAACATAAACTATGAAAGGTCATGTGTTAAAAGGGGCTGAAAGTATAATCACAACATTAAGATAAGATAAGATAAGATAAGACAAGATAAGATAAGATAATTCCTTAGTAGTTCCACAGGTGGGACTACTAAAGGATTATCATAAATAAACCAGGTAATGTCAGGTGCAGAAAACAGCAGCGTCCAAAATACGTCAGAAACTCACCCAAATGAGCAAATTCCAT